GGGTACTGCCGGAACGTACCCTGGTACTATCTAATATGCCGAACCGTACCTCGCCTACTCCACTAACGAGTCTAGGGAGTCGCCTACACCTACTCCCTAACCCGAACCCGAACCCTAACCCTAATCCAAACCCTAACCCTAACCCTAATCCTAACGTATAACCCTAACCATATCAAATAGTGACCAGGGTACGTTCCGGTATACCGCACCGTACCCAGGGTACGTTCCGGTATACCGCACCGTGACCAGGGTACGTTCCGGTATACCGCACCGTACCCAGGGTACGTTCCGGCAGTACCCTGGGGGACATAGACCCTATGAGCACGAGGCGCAGCCTTGTCCACAGTACACTGCGGGCAGGCGTATTGTCTAGACACATTGTCTGGTTCGTTTGATACAATGTATATACACATCACATTTATGCTGGCGCTTGCAAATATGTTATGCCTGCTGTATAACGCTATAGTGGCCTGCGCCCGCTCAGATTTTGACGATTTTTTTTTAGAGTATTTTGTAGAGCGGAACTCCCTGTTCCGCGGGGGGGATCGTCCGATCCCCCCGATCCCCCCCTGGTTACGGGCCTGGTTTCCCATGCTGTTTCTCTGACTGAATTTTGCTGTTCAGCTGAAGGACACTTTCCCTAATACCGAAATTGCTCTGAGAATCTATCTTTCATTGATGGTCTCGAATTGTAGCGGTGAAAGGTCATTATTAAAACTCAAGTTGATTAAAAATCACATGAAAACCACGATGAGCCAACAGAGACTGGTAAACCTATAGCTCAGTATTCTCGCTATCGAAAGTGACATTTTAAATTTGTTGAAACACGATGAAATACTCTCTGAATTTGCAAGCATGAAAGTGCAGAAAAAATACAGACTATAAGGCCCCCACACAATTGCGTGCCCCGGGCCTCCCACACGCTTAGTCCGGCCCTGCGTTGGATCAATGTTGGCAATATGACGTTGGGCCAACGTTGGGCCAACGTTGGGCCCAACGTTGGCACGCTGAGCAAAAAGACGTTGGATCAACGTTGGCAGCCAACGTTGGCTCAACGTTAGCATGAGCTGGAGACAGCCGTTGGCCCAACGTCAGCATGTCATCTGGGTAAGATACTTCTTTTCAGGACTCGATGCAAGCATGTGCTACGGAGCATGGTAAATCAACTGCCTCTGTTGAAATCATAGAAATATATAATTATGTATATAGACACTTATATTATTTCTATGGTTGAAATGCTCTTTATTTGACAGGCTCTGTGAATGGAATAGAAATAGAGCGATATATAACTCTTAAATATTTTCTTATTGTTGACAGATCTGGACTGCACGTGGAGTATGTAGGCCATGCATATTTTATTCGTGTTAGCTTGTAGTGGTTTTTTAAAACTTTTTTTAATTGATATATACTAATTAGTTAGTCAACCGTGCCTTTACAACCATTCTTTGGATTGGATTTATATCAAAATTTCTTTGTTATAAATAGTAAATCTGCATATAGATTGTAAATACGATATATATATAAAATTTATTTGAATTTGAATTTGAATTTGACAGACAGTATTTACCTCCCCCCTACTTGCGTACGTGTGAACGCTCCGACTCAATTAGGCCCGAGCCAAATTTGGCCCGAGCCAAATCTAGCCCATTTGGCTCGAGCCAAATCATGACCGTGTGAACACGGCTATAGACACATGTCTTAGCTATACTCTCTGTGAATATTGAGTTTATTGACGCGCGATTAGTCAATATATTAGCAAATATATGCGTACCGTAATCTCCCGTACCGGCCTGAATATAGACAAACCCAAGGGCTACAGACCGAGGGTGTTTCTTATTTATTAATTTAAAAGCAAAAGGATTGTAATATCTTATAAACGACATATATATACTTTCAGTTATATTATGGATAAATTTGTCCTAAAATGAACATCGTTCAGTTAAATAGCATTTACGTATAAATATAATTGCACCTTTGTGATTAGCCCTCGGTCTGTAACGTGCAAAATAAATTGCCAAATGCGCAACTTTTTCAGGGTGGCAGCACGGTCGCGGGTGTCAATGGCGCCGTTCAAATTTCGTAGCGCTGATGTATAATTAATTATAACAATTAAATTAGGTATCTGGTAACAAATACGTGTGGGTATAGACGATTTGTTATACAGTAAGTACAGTTGTATGCAGTAAAATCCTAGAGTCTAGTAATAGTAGTATCCCTTTAATTACTATGTCTTCTGCAGTAAACTGAAATAATTGAGGCACGTTCACTTATAATTACTAACACTATAGTTTCTAGTGGTAAATTACCATGACCTAGCTTGCCCTTAATGTATCGATATGTTTATATAATGCACTGAAAGTCACCTTTCAAGAAAATGTCAAACAAGTTTTGTCTGAAATTATGTCTATGTTCCATTAATACTCTACTTTGTCCATTGTTATCGGTCCATTTTCTTTAACATTCTTTTTCTATCATTAGTGTCAAAAATTTTATGTGATAAGATTTTCACAATTAAACATTTATACCACTCATATTGATGTGCCCTCTAGATGGATAAGAGTTTTTAAATCTGTTTTACTATAACTACGTTTTAAATTTTACTGTAATTAAACTTGCTTGCTATATGTAGTCTTGCAATTGTGATAAAACAGACATTTCTATTCTATTTTAACCTTAAAACTATATGGGTTAATATAGTTATTGCAATAACACACATTGTAAAATTGATATCATAATTGGCTGCCAACGGTTGGGACCAACGTTGTCACGCTGAGCAAAAAGACGTTGGATCACTAGCGGATTAAGGGCGGGGCAACAGGGGCACGTGCCCCGGGCCCCCCACATTTGGGGCCCCCCACATTTAGAGTATCCTAAAATTTACAAAACTGTCGTAATTGTGATCCACAAAATTCTTAGCATGTAACGTTGAAGTGATGCGTTTCCAGGCCCGTAACCAGCGAGTTTTGCGGGGGGGATCGAATTAGGTAACACCGGAACTCGAAGGCGGAGCCC